GAAAAAAAAATGTATAATAGGCATTATTCCTACTCTTAAAGAAGAAATACAGGAAAACTTAATGAATTTTGCTAGAGAAAACATTATGACTTTTCTGTTTCAGGATCTTGGAAAATGAAACAGTAGCCCAGTAATAAGTAACCATTGTGCCCTTGGATACATATTTATTATGGATTTGTCAGGTCATTTAGGGACAGACTCAACACACCTTTAATGAAGAGTAATACACTGAAGGTGTCATTTTAATGAAGAGCCACTACTTTAGTCCTTATGGCTCGATATTTCTAAAAAGGTTTCTAATCTACAAAACTGATACATTCAGTTAGCTTTGCCTGAAATTAGTGAAAGACAGACTCAAAAAGTTAATTTACTAAATGGCAGCAGCTCTTTCTCCTTATATCCAGATAATAAGATTACATTAGAAGACAATTAGAAATACATAAAATATTTTACTTTTTTTTTTTCTCCTGATGACTTCTTTTCTGAAGCTACATTAATTTCTGGGTATATTTTTCATTCTGCAAAACTTATGATGTCATTTATATTTTACAGCTAGAGCTAGCAGACACCTTAAGAATTTTTCTGTGGACCACCATTATCTTCTCCTTTTGTGGCAGCAAATTCAAAGTAACCACCTTTTTTAAATTGTTTCAGAAGTGACCAATTCTGTGACTGTGTCTGTTCTAGTTTCAGAACACCCAAATGGAGACCTCTTATGTATGATTACATACAAATAAATATACATATTTATTAAAAAAAAAAAACTAACAATACACTTACAATATTGAAGATATTGGTGGCCGTGCCAGCCCAACTGGACAAGCACTGGGGATGAGGACACAGTCCCTACACCTTATGGTAACCCATAGCACCCACTACTCTTATATATGTTTAAAAAGAAGGTAGTGTCTTCTCATCCCTCCTCAAACTCTTCTCTACGGTAGTTTTTTATTGCATCGCTTCACCAGGAAGCAAAGCCCTAAATTTCAGATCTTTACTATTTGTGTTCAGAACAAAATACCCTTGGTTTGCTTCACCTTTGCTTCAGAAGCTGAGCAGAGCCTAAATTTCTTATGTTTCTGATGCCCTAGGTACACTGAGTTGATAATGACAGTACATAGGAGGCAGCTGCTGTGTCCACAAACAAGTACATCTTGACTTTAGATAATCCCAGGTCACAGAGATCCCTCCTGGGATCTTTTGCATCCAGGTGCTTGTGGGCAGACCAGGTTACAATCTGTAACAGCAGTGAGTTTCTGGAGATCTGAGATTCAGTTTTAACAGAATTGTAATGGATAGACATCTATTGTCTAGAGAAAAACTATAAAATGTTGGCAAGTTCCTACGTTTATCGTCAGTTTGTTGTCTCTCTGATTGCTTACTGAAACATGCATTCCTATATTTCTCTGTACAAACATTTTCTAATCATTGAAATCAGCAGAGGTTTTAGCTCCACTTTTAACAATAGGGTCCTAAGGCTCCAAAGCTGAGCTAAAGGCAAGATGATGAGAAGATTTAAAAAACAAGCTACTGGGGATCTATTTTGTTACATATTTTAAAAGAGTTTTCACTGTACTAAATTATGCATAAATGCAAAATCGAGTGACAAAATGCCAAGGATGGAAAAGGACACAAAAGGGAGAAAAAAAAAAAATGTAGAGAAAAACATAAGACCAGTGCCTCTGGAGTAGTCCAGGACAGAATCACATGATGATTTTGTCAGTGTCTAGTCTGAGAAAAAAATATCGTTAGGGTTAGGAACAATAGCCTAATGGCACATTCCCATGTCCCAGCACAGCGAGGTTACGACCCCTGATTAATGAGGCTGAAGCTGGGAAATGTGAATGTGAACAGCAGGACACTCTGCTGCCAGTGGCATGGTCCAAGAGAGCAGCCAAGTCTTCATTCACTGCCATGCTAAATAAGCCTCCATGAGCTCCCAGAAATAAAAAGTCTGAGAGAGATGATAAACACGTTAAACAAAATAGACAAAACAAGCCTCTCCATAGTCCAAGGCAATATACTTCTGTGGGCACTGTGTAGTGCTTTTGTAGCATTCTCTAAGCTCAGCAGAAGACTTCAAGCAGAACTTCCAAAACTCAGAGAGAAGTTGGTTTACATAATTTTTATGATTTTCTGGAGTGTCTTTTAAAGACAGTTTTATGGAACTATGCTTATAAGCGTGATTGGGGGTTGTTTTTTGTTTGTTTGTTTGTTTGTTTTTGAAGGAAACTTCTTAACACTTTTCCTAATTTGAAACTGAGGTTGGAAGGATACTGAGGGGATGAGAGCTCCTTGAAGGACAGAGGCAGTGCCACAGCACTGATATGGACACAGGACATAGGCAGGAGATCTAAAATGGGCTGTGAAGGAGTGTTGGGCAGAGGTCATGGAAAGGTGTGTCCTGGGACTGTAAGTGGAGCATTTTTTAGCAAGAGTCAGGATAGATCCATTGAGCAGACTTGTAAAAGCATGGGAGACATGAAGGAAATGGCTAGAATTTGTGAGGAGATATAGCATCTAGTTAGAAGTGCAGAGCCTTTCTTAGACTCAGACCTCTTCCTTCTGCACCATGCAGTCTACTGAAGCAATCTGTTCTCCGTTGTTTTGCATGGAAAAGATGAAATATTGTTTTGTTTGTTTAGAGTTGTCTAAAAATTACTCCACGTAGCCTTGATGATTGGCAAATGTGGGTAGTGTGAACTGTGTGTATGCAACCTAAAAAGATACAGACTTTCAACAGGAAAAATGTGAAGTGTTTAGAAAACAGAAGCCGCTAGTGCAAAATTTACCTACAGAAAATGGTCTTTAAATAACTTTATCAATTAAGCATATCAAGTGTAAAAAAAGATCCAAATATTCAAACACTGTTTTACAACCTTAACTATAAACCTATTAAGAGTGTCTTCATAATTTAAAGGCTAGATGAATGTTACGCTATAAAAGCAAGAATATCTAACAATCATTAGAAGAGGACAAAATCCCAGGCATCCACCTGTGATTCTTAATCCCATGAAACTTTTAAAATGCATATTAGAATAGAATCCCTTTTTAAAGCCATTTTTCCTTCAAAATCACTTTCTAGTTGAACAAGCCCCTGAAAGCTACATTCTTAACTGCTGTAAATCAGCTTAATTCCTGCAAATCTGAAGCAGTAGTCCCCAAGTCTGAGGCATGCAAAGTCTGTAACCATCAACAGATTAGTGTAATTACCACACAGAAAAATAACCGATGTCAGTCTTAGAATGACATATAACTAAAAATAAACATACTCTTCTTTTTTCCTCTTCCACTTATGATTCGATGCTTTTGCATATGTTAAAAATTAATGAAAAAAATCCTGTTCTAGAAAGACAGCCATATAAATATTTGAATGAAGAAAATGTCTTTCAAAGTAATCACATCTCTATCTAAGAAACTCAATATTTGACCCAAATGCACTTAGGTATGCAACTTGTACCACAAGAAACTGAAAATCACCATATTTATTTAAGGATGTATGTTCTTTATCATGTGTCAAGGAATTGTTGTTCCCAGTTAATTAGATCCAAAATCTGGAAAAGAGTTTAAAACAGGCAGCCAGCAGTGAAGGTGGGCATAATCCACAAATATGGAAAGAATACTTATGCTTATATGACCAAAAAAAAAAAAAAATCTGCTAGTAATCAAAACTAGTAACTGAGACAGCTAATCATTTCCAGAGCGTGCAAAATTATGGGTAAGAGTATGTATTGACATTAGCTAGGAAATGGTTCATAGATTTTAGGAAGGGATGGATGGTTACGATTGAGTTGTCTGATCTCTTACATAATACAAGTCACAGAGCTGTCCAGCATGGTCTTTCAGTGCTGAGGACAGCCCATGACTGCTGCTAAAGCCAGATGTGGAAACACAATCCCTGTTGCGGCCATTGTACCTACCAGTACTGTCCAATATTTAAATATTTATCCTACCTGGATGCGACCCTGCCCCTGCTTGAACAGGGGGGTTGGGCTAGGTGATCTCCAGTGATCCCTTCCAACCTCAACAATTCTGTGGTTCTGTGATGCAGCCTTGGTGATGGCAGAGACAGGCGTTTCCTTGGGGCAGTTCCCTCCTTCTAAGAAGAGGTTCTGCAGTAGGCGAGATGTCCCTCTGGAAACACCTGCATAGGGACTTCAGGAAGACCCTGGGCTCCAGCTACACATGCATCATCTCAGGTTGCTGAAGTTAGGCAGGGGGCCCCTTCTCCCATTTGGATGGACGGAATAACCCTCAGGGACTTAAACTGAAGCTTGGGTATATATTCTTTTTTTTT